GAGCAGCTGGGACTCGAACTAGCAGATATGGGATGGCAGCATCACAGACTGTGGCTTAACCAGCCAGACCACAATGCCACACCCCAACAGAATGCTGCTCTCCACTCTAGCTACTATACTTCTGATCCAGCTCCCTGCTAAGGCACCTAGGAGGCAGTGGATGATGGCTCAAGTGCTTGGTCCCCTGCCATCCACATGGGAGACATGGATGGAGTTCCTGCCCTGATTGTTGCAAGCATTTGGGAGTTAACCAACAGATGGAGGATTTCTCTCCACAATAAATAAATAATAATAATAAATAAATCTTTAAAAATAATCTTATATGGAATCTTTCAATTTTAAGAATTTAAATGTTTAAAATATATACCTCCATTAATAGTGCTCTAGTAATTATTAGATAAGTATCTTTATAATTCAATAAACATTTATTATGTGTCTAATATCTGCCTGGGTCTTATTTACCCTTATATAAGCAAATGACATGCAGAAGGCAATAAATTAATGAATGGCCTTCAAACCTGTCATTTACCCATATTGGGACTTAGTTTCCTCATCTGTAAAATCAAAAGGACTGGACATGATATTCTCCAAAGCAGCACTGCCCAATTAAACTTTTCCAATGCTAGGAGAACGTTCCATATGTATGTTGACCAAAATGATAGCCACTACTCACATGTGGCTACTGAATCCTTGAAATGTGGCTGTATTAGCCACAGTTAAATTAACTGATGAATTATATTTTTAATTTAATTTTAACTTTATTAGCTACATAGCCACCACATTGCACAGCACAACTCTAGGGCACAATACTAGATGAAAAATGCATTTTAAAATGCACCATAGTGATCACATATATGTGGTAATATGTGCATGTACATGTGTGTTTAACAAAAATTCATAAAATAATACCTCTCTTTAAATAAAACACTGTACTTGGGGCCTGCGCTGTGGCATAGCAGGTAGAGCCACTACCTGCAGTGCTGGCATCCCATAGGGCGCCGGTTTGAGTCCGGCTGCTCCACTTCCAATCCAGCTCTCTGCTATGGCCTGGGAAAGCAGTAGAAGATGGCCCAAGTCCTTGGGCCCCTACACCCACATGAGAGACCCGGAAGAAGTTCCTGGCTCCTGGCTTCAGACTGGCACAGCTCTGGCCGTTGTGGCCAATTGGGGAGTGAACCAGCAGATGGAAGACCTCTCTCTCTCTCTCTCTCTGCCTCTCCTTCTGTGTAACTCTGACTTTCAGATAAATAATAAATAAATCTTTAAGAAAAAAAAAACTGTACTATATACTAATGATTGGCTTAAAGGTGTATTCAATATTTATCTTGCTATTTCAATAGGAAATCACTAATTAATTTGCAGGTAGCTCAGGTTACATCATATTCTAGTTTGAAAGCTTTAGAATCATTCTTCATCTCCATGATAAATCCAAAGTTTTTTTTAAATGCCAAGAGTTCCATGCCTTTAAGAAGTAGAAGTCAGGGGCAGACATTTGACCTAGTGGTTAAGATTCCCCCTGTCCCACATCAGCATGCCGGGGTTTCATTCCTAGTTTCACTCCAGATTCCTGTTTCCTGTGAGTATAGACCTGGGAGGTGGCAGGTTATGACTCAAATAGTTGGTTCCCTGCCACCCCTGTGAGAGACTTTGACTGAGTCTCCAGCCCCTGGCTTCAGTCCAGTCCAGGTTCAGTCAGTAAAAGCATTTGGGGGAATGGACCAGATGGAGAGCTCCTGCTCTTATTCTCTGCATCTCCAACTTAAAAAAATAGAAAGAAAGCAAAGGTGACATTTTCACCTTGTTTTCACACTTCAGAAATGGTAACCAAAGGAAGTGGTAGGATTTACAGCAGAGAGTGGAAGAAGGAAGTTGTGGGGATAGTGCTCATGGAAAGAGAAAGGGCTGAATTTTTATTACCATTATGTCCTGAGAGTCCTAATGATTTCTCCTTCCCTCTCATTCTTCTACCCTGAGAATAGTCCTATAAACTTTACCTTAACTTCATCTGGCACGTTGGAGAACTATAGAACAAAAACAGCCTCAAGACATAATGTGACAAAAACTTAAGCTATAAAATAATTTTTTTTTTGACAGGCAGAGTTAGACAGTGAGAGAGAAAGAGAAAGGCCTTCCTTTTCCATTGGTTCACACACACCCCCCGCCCCCGGTGGCCAGTGCACAGCACTGATCCGAAGCCAGGAGTCAGGTGCTTCTCCTGGTCTCCCATGCAGGTGCAGGGCCCAAGGACTTGAGCCACCCTCCACTGCACTCCCGGGCCACAGCAGAGAGCTGGCCTGGAAGAGGAGCAACCGGGATAGACCCAGTGCCCCAACCGGGACTAGAACCGGGGGTGCCGGCACTGCAGGCGGAGGATTAGCCTATTGAGCCATGGCGCTGGCCTATACAACAATTTTAAAATCTTAAAACAACCAGGATTTGCTTCTCTAGCCTAATCTTTTGCCACTTTCTATCTTAAACTCTTCACTATAGTTTAAACTATATTCAGTTCTATAGAAAAGTCCATGTTCTTTCTTTAAAAAATTATTTATTTATTTATTCATTTGAAAGAGAGATAGACAGAGACAGAATTAGAGAGCTCTTCCATCCACTGGTTCATTTCCAAAATGCCCCAAACAGCCAGGGCTGGGACAGACTGAATCCAGCAGGCAGAAACTCAATTCAGGTCTCCCAAATGGGGGGCAAGGACCCAACCACTTGAACTATCACTGCTGCCATCCAGGATACACATCAGTAGGAAACCAGAATCAGAAGTGGAGTCAGGACTTGAACTCAGGGATGATTTGGACTGCAGGTGTCCCAAGCAGCACCTGCATCAGAGTGCTAAATGCCTGCCTCTATGTTCTTTGTTACTGTGGGCCTTTGCAGAGGCTGGTCCCTCTTTAACTAGCTAATTTCTAATTTTGCAGATATATATCAATAATTCAAGGGAATCTTCCCTACCTTAAGATTAGATTTTATCTTTGTCTCTCTCTCTCTCACTAACTCTGCCTGTCAAAAAAAAAAAAAAAGATTAGATATTGTTTTAAAGATTTCTGAAAAACAGAGTTACAGAGAGGCAGAGGCAGAGAGAGAGGTCTTCCATCCACTGGTTCACTCCCTAAATGGCCGCAAAGGCCGGAACTGGGCCGATCTGAAACCAGGAGCCAGGAGCTTCTTCTGGGTCTCCCACGTGGGTGCAGGGTCCCAAGGGTTTGGGCAATCTTCCACTGCTTTCCCAGACCATAGCAGAGAGCTGGATTAGAAGTGAAGCAGCCAAAGCTCGAACTAGATTTAATGTCACTTTTTAATGCATGCTTTCCCAGTCCCTTGCACCTTCCCCATTATTATACAATTCTACTTCATTATAATTGCCTGTTTATTTTAAGCTCTTTAAGGGCAGAATTTATTTTTTGTTTCGTTAGCAATATAAAGGTGCTCCTTGATTACTGAATAAATCTTACCAGCCTTTCACCTATCTAGCTTCATCCCCTGCTTGGAATGTTTCCCCTAGTTCTATCACCAGCAGGAGATACCTGTTGTAACACTGAATTATCACTACTTCCTCTAGACACCTATGCCTGTTATTGTTCATACTATTCATTTAACATTTAACCTACTACTCTGTTTTTTAGTTCTTCTTGTAATGCACAGATCCAATCGCCTTAATTAAACTGTACAATTCCTGAAGACATGACTGTTTCTCTTGATATTCCATTATCCAGCATAGTGCTACACACATAATAGACTAATAATTTAGTACACTAAATACCTAGTGAATAATCAAAATTTAAGAAGTTATTTGTTTTGAAAAAAGCAAACATTTTAAAACGATATGGATGCACAAATGACGGCAGTTAAACTTGTTGTCAATGGGGCCAGTCCTGTGGGATAGCAGGTAAAGCTTCCATCTGCAGTGCCAGCATCCCATATGGGCGCCAGTTTGGCTGCTCAACTTCCGATCTAGCTCTCTGCCATGGCCTGGGAAAGCAGAAGACAGCTCAAGTCCTTGGGCCCCTGCCCCTGTGTGGGAGACCCGGAAGAAGCTCCTGGCTCCTAGCTTCGGATCAGCGCAGCTCAAACCCTTGCACCCATCTGGGGAGTGAACCAGTGGATGAAGACTTCTCTCTCTACCTCTCCTTCTCTCTGTGTGTAATTCTGACTTTCAAATAAACACATAAATCTTAAAAAAAAAAAGAACCTGTTGTCAATAACATGGGAAAGGATATACTGAAGTACAGAAAGTTCAAATAATTTTTTAAAATGTTTCAGAGTGAGAGATAATGGATGCAAATATTAGGAAACAATAACCACACTTACATTCAGAAGTTAATAAGAAATAGCTTTATGGCTTCCAAAATGACCTGTGCACACAGAACATCATGGTATTTTCAGATCAAAGGACATTCATGTTTATATATGAATTTAGGGCGGTCTATGTTTTGGGAAAAAAGATAATTACGGTTTTGTCCTATCAGGGACCATGCCTGTCAGCAAGGGAGTTAACTGGTGCTAACTCAATTTGCCACTTGTTTATAGGTGGTTTGCTGTCATCCTACAGTCCCCTCTAAATTGCTACACTGAGGAATATCTAATTCATGGGCAAACTGGTCCCAAATTCCGTTACTAACTTTGGGAGGTAGTCTAGTCGTCCTGCATTTAGAAAAGTAAGCGGGCTAGGAATGGCGTGTACCCCGTCAAAACACACACACACACACACACACACAACACTAAGTATCAGAGAAAAACTGAAAATCCAACTGCAGGACTCCAGTGCTCCAGGTGCCCTCTGCCCGGAACCTCCTGCCCCTTTTCTTTGTGCTGTCCCCAAAGCTTTTACTCGTTCTTCAAATTACTAACCTGAGTTTCCTTCACTTACTCCTGCTGCTGATGAGCTCTGAGAACGTCTTTTTGGTGCTTTTTCTGACCCGAGGTCACTAGGGCAACCTTTTCCCCACCGGGGTCCCCTCGTCCTTTACTTTTCCATGTGAACGGCGGCTCACCTGGAAGATTCGAGTAGTTCCCGAGGCGCCGCGCTGAGGTGCTCTCCATCGCGGATCTGAGCCTCGGACAGATACCAGAGGCCGGATCAGAATCGCCGAGTGCCGGCGTTTTTCGAAAGCAGCCGCCGCGGCTGCCCAACGCCAAGAATGTATCGCGAGCAGCGCCATCTTGAGCGAGGAAAGAGGAACCGGGCACGGAGGATTATGGGACACTGGCGGACCGAAGTAGGCCGCCTAAATCTTCTCTCCCCGCCCCCTCGTTTCCCCAGGACCCGCGACCGGAAATAGCTTCTTTCTGCAGATTGGGTAGGTTTTTTTTCTTTTCCTCTCTCTGTCTCCTGCTACTGGGCTTTGATTATTTTTCTACACAACCAAGAACATCGGAATAACATTGTTTTCCTCTCTTCTCCTAGGCTTGCCAGATAAAATGAAAGATTTCTTGATAAATTTCAGATAAACGAATCTTTTTTTTTTTTAGTTGACGCAAATACTCTGCTATACCTGCCAGCCCTATCTTGTACCTCATTCCACCCTTTTCTTACTGCCTCCAGCTCAATGCCACGCTCCACTTTCTCTATTTTCCCTCTGCATATTCTTATCTCCACTCTCCTGCTGACTAACGTTTAGGGAAGATTAAACTACAGACACTAATTTCCCCTGGGGGAAGGCCTCACCTATGAGACTGTGTCTCTCATCTTGTAAGCACTTTTACTTTGCTGATTGTTCTTTTCGCATAAACCTTGAGGCAGTTTTCCTTTGGTCTGTTGCTCTTGGGGAAGTTAAACACACATGCTAGACATCTTTACTCTGATATTTTGCCTCTCTTGCTAGCTTTTCCCTTCGGTTTTGCAGGGTCCCTAGTTATTGAAAGAACCTATGGATTGGCTGAGGGATGGTAAAATGAAAATGTAAAGAAGTCCATGTTTAAAGACAGGTTTCTATTTGTTTGTCACCATCGTCATCAAATGTCAGAATAGGTTTCCAGTTACCTGGGAAACAGTTTCTGAGGGTACTTGTTACCTGAAACCCTAGAGACAGTAATGCAATCACAATTTTATATTAATTGCTTGCATTCCCAAACCTCTCACAAAAGATAGGCAAATAATTCTGAACTTCTTATGAGAGATACTGTGGACTAATAATAAGTCTGATGAATTGTTTTACACTTCCAAATTTCCAGGAAAGGGATGTTTGAACCTGTTATTTAAATAAGAAAACAGTTTAGAATTGAAGAGTGTCACAGGAATTCCGTGAAAAGAACATGGTATGGTAAAAGCAAGAAAGCAAAAGAACATCTTAGCAGTCTAGGGAGTGCATGGCAAAGTACCAGGAAATGAGTCTGGGTGAACAGAGGCCTGATGGCAAAGGACCTTATATTAGAGTACTTCAAAAAGTTCATGGAAAATAGAATTAAAGGATGAGTTGATTTTGATGCAAAAATTTTTGAAAGCCATCAAAAATTTCATGAATAATGCATTGGGAAAAATTGTGCCTGGATTTCAAAAATTTTTGCACCAAAATAAGTTGGTTTTTAAATTCCATTTCCTTTGTATTTCATTCTCATTCTTTGTATTTGATTAACTCATAAGTTAATGCTTTATCCTGTAGCTAGTGAAGGGTTTTAATCAGGATGGTAACATGATCAGATTTGTATTGTGTATTAGCCTGCTGTGGCTTAAATAGGAAGGTTGGATTGGGGGAGTTCCGATAGGAATTATGAAGTTAATGCAATAGTTCAGTCATAAAATAAAGGCCTAAACCTAGTGGCAGCTGTGGCAATAGATCAGTGCTAGAAATATTAAGAAGATGGAATTGATAGGACTTAGTGACTAATTGGATGTTTCTATCTTATTATTGCCTTATTGACTGTAGATCGGAATGACCTCTTATTACTGAGTATATCATCATCAATAAATATTTATTCAGCATTTATTCTTGTTAGCAGCAGTCTACAATAGAGAAACCCTGGACTCTACCAATGATTTCTATTAGGGTTGAATATTGCCACTGTTATCACCCAGTTAAGGGATTATCCAGTGGTCTTCTAATTTTAAAAAATATATGAAACTATACAATAAATATTCTATGGAGATTGTCAGATGTAATGAAATAACATCTTACATTTTTATACTTTCAGAAGCATACATTATCTTGCTGAATATTAGTAACAATTTTCTGTGGGTATTATTAACTCTTCCTTATTAATGAAGAAGGCCCAAGCCTTATGGTAATAGATCCACAAACCAAACCATCATGTTTGGCTGTTGTTCTGCTCTGTCCACTAAAAGATGTCTCCTATACTCTCATACAAGATTTAATAAAAGTCTTTAGTCGCCATATAAAATCATAACATTGTTTGATTTACTTATTGTATTTATTTGAAAGGCAGAGAGATAGAGACTGAGATACTTACCCCCAAATACCTGCAACAACCCCTAGCTGGTGCTGAAGCCAAGAGCCTAGAACCCAATCTAGGTCTCAGGTAGGTGGCAGGAACCCACCTGAGCTATCACCTGTGACCTCCTAGGATGTGGATTAGCAGGAAGCTGGAAAGGAGAGTAGAGCTGGACCTGGAACCCAGATACTATGATATTGGACACATGCCTCCCAAACAGCATCTTAATGGCTATACCAAAAGCGTGCCCCATAAGTCATAAGATTTTAAATCATGAAAGACTACAGAGTTCTAAAATACCTACATCTAATCCTACAGAAGATTTCCTAAAACTCTTTTGAGAAGTTGTATTAGAATCACGTATACACATTCCTGACATGGAGTAACAGTAGTAAGGTTTTTGAATGAATTCAATATATTTTTATGGAAGTAATGATCATTGTAAGCCAACTTCTCTAATTAAAAATGTGAATAATATTAGAATACACAAGGAGCTATTCTACAATGAGATAAAATGGGGCAAACATTTACTCGCCAGATAAGCCAAAGAAAACTTCCCGTGCACCTAGAAATAGAACATGAAGCATTATAAGAGTTGCACACTGCTAGGGAACAGCAGCAACAGACAGGTCAACTTGGCCTGCAGCAACTTGACACTTAAGTGTCTGTCATAAAGCAGAGACAGAGGTACACACAATAAAAGCTGCTATAAATAGATGCTGTAGCCACAGATCACATGATAACACTATGTATGCCATAATTTTACCTAAGTGTGCATAGTATTTTGCAATTTACAAAGTGCTTTCTCTTACCTCTTATTATTTAATGCTCATGTCAACCCTAGATGATTGATATTACTTATTCATGTCCCCATATTTATGAGGAAACTGAAGGTGAAATATGATATGATGAGAGAGGCCACAGAGCTGATAGAATGGAGACCAAGCATAGGTTTTATGATTCCAAATAGAATGCTCTTTTCACTTAATTACATCTGAAATGTGGAAGAAACACTTGAATACTTTAAGTAAGCTCCAATGTTCTTTTTGTTTCTAGGAAATGCTAGAACTTACTCTCACACCTGCTTCTGCCTCTAACTAGAACATCTTTCCTATAGATTTTTAAAAATTTTCGATTAACATTTAATGCTATACATATTTATGGAGTATACTGTGATAGTTCAATATATGTATACAACATGTACTGATCAAATTGGAGTAATGAAGACTTCCCTTTCCTTGTCATTACTGTAGGTTTGGAGGCTTTAAAAAAATTATTTCTTGTCATTCAGGTTTCAACTCAAATGTCACTTGCTTAAAGAAGCTTTCCAAAAGCACCTTATCTAAAGAAGGCACCCCGCCACCACTGCTCCATGCCATTCTCTATCACATTGCCTTGCATTATTTCCCTTAAAGTCTTGCTATTCAAAATGTGATCCATGAACGGTTAACTTTGGCATCAACTGGGAGGTTGTTAGAAATACAGAATCTTGGGCCCCATGCTAGACCTAAAGATTTAAAATTTGAATTTAAATAGTTTCTCAGGTTATTCATATGCATATTAAAGTGTGAGAGGCACTTTTAAAGAACTTATCCTGGCCTCCTGTGCTGTGGCACACTGCTGCCTGCAGCAAGTCATCCCATATGGGTGCAGATTCAAGTCCCAGCTGCTCTGCTTTTTTTTTTTTTAAGGTAAACGAATTTCCAGTAATTCATATATACAGATTTAGGAACATAGTGATATTTCCCACTCTACCCACACTCCCACCCTTCTTCCTCCTTCCTCTCTTATTCCCTCTTAATTTTTACAATGATCTACTTTTAGTTTACTTTATATTCATAAGATTAACCCTACACTAAGTAAAGACTTCAACAAATAGTAAGAAGAAAAAAGACACTGTTCCTAAATAGTAGAGACAAGGGCTGATCCAGCTCCCTGCTGATGTGCCTGGGAAGAAGCAAAGGATACTCAAAGTGCTTGGGCCCCTGTTCCCACGTGGCAGACTCAGAGGGGACGCTCCTGGCTCCTGGCTTCAGCCTGGCCCAGCCCTGGCTGCTGCAGCCATCAGGGGAGTGAACCAGTAGATAGAAGATTCTCTCTCTCTCTCTCTGTGTGTGTGTGTGTGTGTGTGTGTCTCTGTCGTTCTGCCTTTCAAATAAATCTTAAAAAGCACCTATCATTTTCTGAAACTTACTTCTTTATTTTCATGTACATTTTTTAAAAGATATTTATTTGAAAGGCAGAGTAACAGAGAGAAAAGGAGAGACAGATGGACAAAGAGATTTTTTTTCCATTTGCTGGTTCACTCCACAAATACTCGCAACAGCCAGGGTTGAGCCAGGCTGAAACCAGGGACCAGGAATTCTATCTGGGTCTCCCATGTTGATGGCAAGGACCCAAGTACTTAGACCATCATCCACTGCCTCCCAGGATGCATTACTAAGAACCTGGATCAGAAGTGGAGTAGCAGGGCCTGGAACTGGCACTCTGATTTGGGATGCAGCCATCTCAAGTGATGACTTAACCTAGTGCACCACAATGCCTACCCCATCGTGTACTTAAAAAAAAAAAAGATTTGTTTATTTGAAAAAGTTACCAAGAGAAAGAGATCTTGCATCTGCTGGTTCACTCCCCAGGTGAGTGCAGGAGCCCCCAGCTGGGCCAGGGTGAAGCCAGGAGCTAGGAGCTTCTTCCAGGTTTCTCTTGAGGGTAGTAGGGGCCCAAGCACTTGAACTATCTTCCACTGCTTTTCCCAAGTCGTTAGTAGGGAGTCGATTGGAAGTGAACAACTGGGACACGATCTGGCGCCTTTA